TCGTCCGAAGAATAAATAAAACAACAAGTAAACTGAACCCACAGACGCGCGGAGATTAAAGGAGTTTCGATACTGGTTGTCGCGATAAACTCTGCTTTGGTCCCACTACCTCAGAGTGAAGGAGTGGGATTGAGGGTGCGTGCGGACTGGGGTGAGTGAGAGAGATATAGAGAGAGAAAAAAAGAACCGTGAAAGTGCCGTCTGCACGTCTTCCTTCACGGGGGGACGGAGAGGAGAAACGAAGGAGGGGGGGAAAAACCCAGAGGTGCCGTACCGCGTAGGAAGCGTCTTCCTCTAGGGTGGAATGGTGGAATAGGAGTTTTTGGTACTGAGCCTTCTGCTTGTATGGGTATATCTCTCAGCGTGCCGTGTCACCGCGTGGGTATGTCTTCTCCTTGAGGTGTCACCTAGCAGAGAGGTCTCACCAGACTGCCTTGCGGGTGAAAATGGCCCATACTTATACTCATTGGCGAAGCTAGGCCCGTCCAATCAGCGCGCCTGAACAAGGGTTTTTCCTAGCCGCGAGCCCCCGAGTGCCGTGCGCAAAGTCAGCTTATATTAGTCACGTTACAATCTCACCCTCTGGACCCGATAGTCGCGGACGACCAGGTGTCCAGAAATGCCTTCTTCTTGCGCAGCGTTGTTCTTGCGGGGTCGTCCTCTCCTTCGGATCGGCGCGATCGGCGTTTTTGGTAGCGTGCTTTCCTCTGCTCGACATGGGGTGAGGGCGGATGTGTGATACGTCCCCAGTGGTACTGAGGAGTCTGTCCTGGCAGCTACCTCGTAACTCGTAGCTACCACCTTGCGTAAGATTACGTATGGCCCGTCTCGTTTAGGAGCGAACTTTCCAGAGATCCCTTTAGCAGCATTACTCAGGAGATGGGTGTTCACCCATACTAAATCCCCGGGTTGGTAACCTGGATCTGGTCTTTTTCCCTGATCAGCATATTCCTTACGTCGGTCTTGAGCGTGGTCCTGTGTGTCACGAGCTGCCCGTAAGGTTTCAGCCAGCTGCAACAGTCGTGGAGTAATCTCCGCGATAAAATTTTCTGATTGAAT